AAAAGAAAAACCAATAACAATAGAATAACAATATATAAGAAATTCATTCAAATGAGAAAGTATAAACAAATTAAACAACCAAGAAAAAAAAAGAAAAAAAACAATAGCACAAATGCATTTGAACATGTTGCTCAATATTGCGCGCACGCACACACGCACACACACACACACACACACACACACACACACACACACAAACACACACACACACACACACATACACACACACACACGCGTTTTACAAAAGCACAACATTCACTTATCAAGGGCTCCATCTAGTGGAACAAATATGAAAAAACAACGGTTTGCTAGATGGACTAAAAAAATCGGGAAACCTCCCAACAATCCTTTAAAAACTGTTATGTTATCCCTGAAAAAACTGAAGAAATAATCGCCTAATGACATTACATTGTGTTTCTGAACAATCCAATAGATGCACATGTGAAAAATAAAGCATAGCTAATTGTTCGTTGCCTTTTATTTTGAAAGTCAAAACCGGATAAGTCAGAGTTTAATCACGTGACAGTCGCTAAAGCAACATGGCGGATGCTCGTAGGATGACCGTAGACGGAGGAGAAACGCTGCGATATGCTGAATATACTTCAAAAACAAATGTCAGGAGCGATGCCGGTATAGATTCACGGCTGGTAAGAGTCTGTTTTCAAACTGAAGACATTCATTGGGTTAATTTGAATGGACCATTGTGGGTTTTACCTGTTAACGTGTGTGACATAACCTCAATGACCGCTAAAGGCACGGCTGCTTATCACTATTTTAAACTTACATCTTGGTCCACATTTGTTTTGGATGTTGGTTAAACGTAAGGTTAATGCCACATAAATGTTAAATTGACTTACAGAGACAAAGAGATGTAGAAAACGCTCTTATCGTTGCTTATATTGTCTTCTGGCTCACGCATTTAAAACAACAGTATAGCAAGTTGTCCCCATATATTGCATAAATAAATACTTCGGAAAAGTGTATTGTCTTTGCGTATGAAGATGTTCTGCAACTCATTGATCTCACACATTTTGTAACATAATATAAATGCTCAAATGTAAATATTATGCCGCATACACACAAGATGCTCATCCTACAATGTTTGTTCGTTTTACTGCTTCAATTTCGTATGAAGATTGTGATAGAAAAGCCTTTTGGAAAATGGTGTTTAGAAAGTTACTCTGGGGGCTGCACATCAGTCTTAGATGTAAAATCCTATTTAAAACATAATCTTCAATTAACACAATCAGGAGTAGTAAGCCATTAAACACAAACCATCAATATGGAACTTTTATATTGTGTGATATATATAGGACACATTATTTTATAAAAGTCATTGTTGAGGAAAAAAATGTGGTTGATATTCCTAATAAAATTAATTGTTATGCTCTTTTCCTTGGCTTGCTTCTATCTCCAATGTTTTGCTTCTTGTGTCTAGACTAGTTTAACTTCCCAGTGTGTTAACTGTTGGGGGTTTGTTTTGCGGACAGGGAGGGGCTCTGATTGCAGTTGGTCTTGGTGTGGCTGCTGCAGGTTTTGCAGGTAAGAATAGTTTGATATGAAATCAGTAATTTACAACATTTTCAGAAATATGTTTGTTTTTAATCAGATTCATGTATGCTTATGGTCGACAGGCCGCTATGCATTCCAGCTGTGGAAGCCTCTTGGACAAGTCTTCGCTGAAACTGTCAGGAAGGTGCCCACATACGGCGTGAGTAATTATTAAGCTTCCTGTAACCCTGCCTACACCCCTCTTCTGGTAAATGTAGCACCTCATACCGTTTTTAGGTTCAAACTAAAGAAATGTTGTGCCCTTGAGATACCCAACATATATAGAGAACTCCCTGGCATTGCTTCACACTCTCTGATTTTGGGGAGTGGGAAAAAAACCAAAGAGAAAGTAGAGCCAGTACTAAATGTTTTGATAGATGTAGCTCTAATTCCTTTCTTTCCCCACAGGCTTTCTCACCATATTACAAAGGAGGTTTTGAGGGGAAGATGTCCAAACGAGAGGCCAGCCTTGTTCTTGGCATCAGGTAATGTTTTGTTTGTAAATATTTCTTAAACGTTAACATATAAGTTAAATGTGTGTTTATTACTGCTCAGAGGTAAGGGATGATTGCTCACATTGTTTTTCTTCTTTCTGTCCAGCGCAACCAGCACTAAACTCAAGGTACGCGATGCACACCGGAAGATCATGGTTCTGAATCATCCAGATAAAGGTGAGCTAAAATTCTGAAGATGGGGGGGGAAAAAAAGTAATTCAATTATATTCGTTTTTTTTTACCTGACTGCTTTTCTTCACAATTCTTTATTTAAACACTGACATGTCACCCAGTGCCTAACTTATGTCATCTAAAAGCTTGTGGTTGGTTGTGTGTGGTTATCAATACCCACATTAAAATGGGCCAAATGTTGGATAGGCCCTCGTGTAAAACAAAGCATTTATGTTACATGTTTGAAAAGCTTGTGGATGGTTGAGTTAAAGGAGCAATTACAGGTCAAACTTGTATGTGTTTCTGCAGGTGGGTCACCGTATCTCGCTGCTAAGATCAACGAGGCCAAAGACCTTTTTGACAAGGAGAACCGGCATTGAACTGCAGATTTAACGAACACTTTAAAGACTTCAATCATCTGGTGTAGGTGCTCCATCAACATCGAGGCTCCGCTTCTGGAAGCAAACATATACATTCATCATGACAGTTTTCTTCTTAACTTATCTCCAACCTAATGTTTTAACATAATGAATATATAAATACATATGTAAATTAAAAGTGAAGGAGATTGCCTTGAAGGGACTTGAAAGTGAATTTGTATATAAGTAAAGGCATAGGTGGGTCAACTGCATCAACCACAACATTTTGTATAGAGTTGTTTCTTTTGAAAGAACAAGATAAATATACAATACTTTAATTCCATTTTTAAACAGTTGATGTGAACATTCTTTTTTTTTTTTTTAAATAAACTTGATATTATAATCCAACCACCCTACTGTATGTTTTTATGAGTGATTCATTGTGCTGCAGACAAAAACACATTCAGACCGCACCTTCAAAACACTTCTTTATTTAGAGGATGATGTCATATGTATATATTATTGGACGGGGAGGACAGAAAGCAGGACACAGTATTTAACGGTTACACTTACAGCAGCAGTTATTGGTCGAAATACCTACAAGAAGGTTTGCTTGGAAAAAGTCAAATAAATAGAAAAAGTCTTCTATCCTGATGTCAGTGTGGATCAGAGCGAAGCGGCACAGGTTTAATGTTCATCATGAAGGCAGAGGGTTTCTATAGAGCAGCCAAGTGGTAGGAGCCTCTGGGTCCTTGGAAATGTTACGTCTAAGACAATTTCAACAAGAAACATCAAATCATTCAAACAGGAAATTAGTTATGTTTTGCTTTGAAATCAGTTTCTCTCCTTGTTTTGTGTTTTTGATCTTTCATTGCCAAAATACTGAGCCCAAAAAAAGAAGAAATTGTGCAAAAAAAAGTTGTAAGCAGTTCTGTTCCAATCAGTTTTTCGAGGCAGCTTCCTGAGGGTGTCCTAATCCCTGGTTGAAAAAGGCAGCGGTAAAACCACATTATCTTGTTTAAGGTGTGACAGGCTCATCGTTAATTTCCCCAAAAATGCTTGAGTAAAAGGGAAGCATACCTCCCACTCTGGGAAAGATGTGAAAATAATTTAAATTTCAGTTCGATTTTGGAGGAAGACTTCAAATTTTGGGTGGACTTGATCAATTTCTCCTGATAGCTTAGAAGAAGACTTCACAGATATTTGGATGTTATTTCTTGTAATTTCGCGAGGCTCTTTGGGACTTGCTGTTTTTTTTCTCAAGTTTCTATACAAACAGTCTTGTAGATTAGAGTTTTTTTCGATAAAGCAGGTTTTTCTTTCGGCTTATTTATACAATCAGGACAGTGTCATGTTCATCCCAGTGCTGAAAAGCCTGAACTGACAATCACAAAATGGGAAAAGACCATCGATGAAGGAAAAGGATCAGGTGGCGGCACACCTGATAAACTGCAGCTTCATGTTCTGTTAGAGGACGGAAATGAAGGGAGGCGAGGAGGTAAGAAAGGCGAGACGTCGGAGGAGGCACAGACAGAAACCGTGGTAACAATGTTAGCACCATGGAAGCTCCACCCACTGAAAGGCATGCTGGGAAAGTGGAGGCGTTTTTAGCTGTACATTAGAAGTATTCTTATCCAAACTGATTATTTTACAGTCGATCGTCGTCGTCATCCGGAGATGTGAGTATTAACGATTCCAGTATTTTTTACATTTGTGAAATCTGCTGGATTGCTTGATGGTAGAACAGATGTTGAAAGGGCGCTGTTGTTTCAGGGCAGAGAGCGGTTCTGCTGAGCGGAGGGAAGCAATCTCATCAACATGTTTATCCTTTTCAGAAGCGAGGCTGATGGAGCCTTTATATACCAGCAGACAGAAAAACCTACTGCTGCAGGGAGACGGAAGCAACCAATCGGAAGTTTAGACGGAAAATAATTCAGCAGCCCTTCGTTAACGAGCTTCATCAAGGCTGCTCAGTTGAACATCATCGGCGTTCGATTAGCAGTCCTGCGTCGCCCTCTCCAAGTCTTCATCCTGCTGCCCTGCCGCCACCTCCTCCTCCTCCTCATCTTGATCCTCTTTCTCGCTCAGTTCCTCTCCGATCACGTCCAGCCGTGCCTCCTGCCCGTTTAACACATGCTCTTCTTCCTCATCTTCCTCTTCTTCATTGTGAAGCCCCAGCTCCTGCAGCTGCAGCCGCCGCTCCTCCACCAGCAGAAGGCGCTCCCTGACGCACTCTGCTGCCGCCGCCGTGTCGCTGGGACTCCCAAAGTACTGCTCCGTCCTGAAACGACACAATGAGTCGTTGAGTTTGTGTGAAGTGTGTTTAACATTGTGGCTAATCTCCATTTAAATGGAGGAAAAACAACCATTCTATCAATGTTTATATAAACAGTGGCTCATATCACGTTTATGGGAAAGGAGTCCCTCGTAGAGACACAACTGATTTCTTTTTTTGTTGCTTTTGCATCTTCAATTATGGAAAGAGGGATTAAGTGGAGGAAGACAGGTGCCATTCAGCTCTGATTTAAACTGACTTTCAACTCATTGTTTTGCTTTTACAGCACAGACATTTTGTTCACTTTCCCACTCTTATTGCAAGGCAAGTTTATTTGTGACCTGCTCTATCGAAATCAGTCGCATTGACCCGAAGACACATTTTGAGTTGTATACACTGCTGGAAAGAGGAGATTCCTCGCTTTCTAATGATATCAGGATTGTTTTTGTACTCCAAATATTAAGCGAAATATGTCACATTATATAATGACTGTCACAGAGTCATCATTTTGAGAAAAAGGCCTTCAAAGTTTCCTCTTCTCTGGAATCCATTGATCTGACTGATTATTAGCAAATGATCAAAATACTACGAAGGGAAGATATTTTCGTTTGGATTACTGGTCTGGGAGAAGCTCGCGAGTGTGTGTGTATGTGTGTGTGTTTGTGTATTTTTGCGTTTGTGTGTATTGTATTTGTTTCCCGGGGAAAACCCTCACGAGAAACACCGGCTGTTGTTATGCCTGCTGTGACGTCAAGTTACTCCGCTTGTAATTATGCCGTTACAAGCTTCAAAGTTGTATTTATCATCTGAATTTGCCGAAACAAGTTTAATATTCTGAAAGCCAAGACTTTGTTTAATTGAAATCAGATGAAAACAAACTGTAACGGACCCTGCCGTGTTATTTATGATTACTCTACGCTTACATTCATAATGTCAGCCGGAGGGAGGGGGAGCGGCGCTGCGGAAGAGCTGTCAGTGTCGAGTGAGAGCTGTCATCTTCCCTTTACGAGCTTCAAGAATGTATTTATCGTGTGAGTTTGGAAATAAAAGTTTAATATTCTGAAAGCCAAGACTTTGTTTAATTGAAATCAGATGAAAACACACTGTAACGGACCCTGCCGTGTTATCTATGATTACTATACGCTTACATTCATAATGTCAGCCGGAGGGAGGGGGGGCGGCGCTGTCATCTTCCCTTTAAAAGCTTAAAGAATGTATTTATCGTGTGAGTTTGGAAATAAAAGTTTCATATTCTGAAAGCCAAGACTTTGTTTGTTTAAAATCAAACAAAACAGCCGAACCCCGAAAAAATTGTTTTTTACGCAAATCCACGTTTATTTTGAAATGAGCCGTTCACTGATTTCGATAGAGCGGGTCACATTTATACAGCACCTTTCAACACAAGGCAATTCAAAGTGCTCTACAGACATTTAGAGATTATCTGGGGAACATAGTAGATCATTTCATTAGGTGAAGAGCTAATTCTTTCCCTCTATAATTGATAGATTGAATAAATGATTACATTCAACAGGTAGAATCCAAATACATGTCAATGTTACCCTGTGTATCTGATGGATGTGTAAATAAGCAACTGTTTGGCCAAATAAAAACACTTATTGCAGGTTTAATGGTTTGGTTGTAGTGGTAATTATTAGCGGGATGAAAAGCAGTGTGTGTGAAGATATACCCATCGGGGAAGATAACAGGCATGGTCAGTCTGTCCAGCAGAGTTTTCCCAGAGGAGTCGACTTCATCCAGAGACTCTGAGTCGACACATTCCTGCTGTAACACCTGAAACACAGTAACAAGCCACACACTGAATTTATGCTTTCTATGTTTGTGTGGCTACAACGGTGTACATCTGCTGCTTCTGCTGTGCGAGCACACCAACAAGTGCCCTGACAGCACATGTTATTGTTATGCTGCTACAACAGTTCTCACCCTCTCGGCGGCGGTGTGGAAGTTCAGAGCCAGCTCCAGCCTCTGCTGTCTCTCCTCACCGCAGACGCTGAACTGTTTCCAGATTCGGTTGAGTCTCGGCAGGGTGTCTCCGGACGAGCGTGTCGTACATCTCAGAGACTGACAGAGGACCACCGTCGCCTGCAGCAGCTGACGGCCGTAATCATAGGTGCTCTGAAGGAAGAGACAGGAAGACAGAGTTATTATTATTTCATTTTTTTTTTGTCTTCTAAAGATTATCTCCAAATACACATTTTCTTTTTAAATCACCGATATTACACCAATAATGATGCCAGAAAATGTAAAAACAAAAATCCTCATTGGCATTTCAAACTCCGTACAGTCTTTGAACATCTTCAAATATATTGTTTGCGACAACCAGATCCTATAAAAAAAAAAAACAGGACATTCTGCCCTACTAAATATAGGACTTCAAATAAATGGACGTTGAAAAAGAATCCATGGTGAGTTAAGTAGAGTGGAGCAAAAAAAGTACCTAAAATTGCTTGAGGTTCATTTTGTTGAATTTGAGACTCAACACAAATCATTAAACCACCCTAGCAGCATGACTAAGAGCATCTCACCTGAGCGACGTCCACAAACTTCCTGTGTTTGTCCAACATGGTCGTCGTCTCCTGAGACTCGTCCCCCAGCCTGACGTGAGTCTTCAGCAGGGCGTCCAACAGCTCGCCGAGCCACTCTACTGACTGAACACACACACACGAAACATGATCATCTATTTCATACAGAAAGTATTAAGTGTGTAGTTGTTGTTGTTGTTGTTGTTGTTGTGTGTCCTACCTGTAAAGCATCTTCTTCGCATTTGAACAGCTGGACCATCTGTAGCATCTTCAGCCTCCTCACATCCACCATGTCCTCACACCTGCACACAGTTACACAAACTTACCACGTGGGACTGATAACTGGTTATAACACAGAGTCAATGTTTTAGAGATGCATCTTTATGACCTTAAAGAGAAACTTCCAGGTTAAAGACACCTGTGAATAAATGTGTAGGAAAATGATGAATACACTAGATTTTCAGATGTAATATGGTTTCCTGATAAAGCTGTGGAGAGTATGTGCTGCAGGGAGGTGGATGCACAACGCACCCAGGAACGAACGCTAGCTCCGGTCCTTTTTACTGTGGACTCGATGTCCTGACAGGCTGGTA